AATGTTTCTGGCTACGCCATGTTGAGAGAGCAGATGGAAGATCACGAACCTCTTTTCTTCTTCCAGACCCACCACAGTAGGGCAGCCAGGAGTACGAGCAGAAACAGGACACCGCCGACGACTGACAGCAGAATAACGGGGAGAGGGGGTGCAGCTGTGGCTGATGGAGGAAAGAGGGAAGGGGAGGTGAGAACAGCCAGATGCCCCAGGACAAGGTCTGGGCCCCACAGAGGAACCCGGCGATGCAACAGATTTGCTCAGACAGTCCTTTGCTGAGCTCTCTGTGATGTGTGTTTGTCCCTGCCTGCTCCTTGCTCCAAAGCGGGGACAGGAGACCCAGTGGTTATTGGGCTGGCCTGGGGCGCTGGCCATGGGGGTTTGATTCTCTGCTTTGCCACAACCCCCATGGGAGTTGCTGTGTCCCTGCCTCCGATCCCCATCTCTGCAAAGGGCACCAAGGAGCTCCAGCTGTTACTGACACAGTGAGGAGGTCAGATACTTTGTTTTCTACCTGTACCTCTCACCTCATCCCACCTCCCTTTCCCAGAAGAGCTTGGTAGGACTGTTCTCCTCCAACGGGAGCCACCCAGAAAGCTGAAGGAAGGAGCTAGGGACTTCTCACCTGTCCTGGGGTTACTCATGGAGATGTTCACAGACTGGCTCCTGGGGGACGGGACCCACCTCCCGCTCACGTTCTTCTCGTACCCACAGGTCAAGTTGCCCATGTTGTTGGGACCAGCCCTGAGGACGCGGGTCACAGAGACGTTCACGACCTCAAGTCCGTCATTGTAGAAGTGAAACCTCCGCTTGCTGGTGTTCCCAGGGGCCGTGCAAGTGAGGAGCAGGATCCAGACGGGGGATCCCCACTCGGTGCCAGCTTGGAAGAGGAACCTGTGGGGAGCAGGAAAAGGGAGGGGTCAGCGCGGGACAAAGCGGAGCTGGTGCCCAGAATTCAATGTACTCAGAGCAGATCCACGCTCTGTCTCCAGAGCCTCCTGCTTCACTTCAGGATCCAGAGGGTGTCTGCACAGAAATGAGGGAGAGCTGGGCTGGGGGGGATCCCCTCGGATACACTGGGGGCTGGGCTGGGAGGCCAGAAGCTGCCATGGACACCAGGCCATGAATCATCTCCTGCTGCCCTCCATTGCTAATGTCCCCACCCCTCACATGCATGGACCCCTCTGCAGACAGAGATCTCAGGGTGTGCGGGGATTCGCTGGGAGCTGGGGGCCCTGCTGGAATTCTCCCCTCCCTGGGGGGTAGCGGGGCGAGGTGGCCATGTTGGATGCCCTTGTCTGTGTCCAGGCTGATGGAGATGGACACAGACATGGGCATCAGGTCGTTCTCTGCATGGATCCTCTGGCTGGGTGGGGGTCGTGGCACAGGGAGGGGCCAGGCCCAGAGCCCCTGTCTCTCTCATGCTCCAGGGGTGAGTGAAGCTGCCCTCCCAGAGGAGATGCTCCAGGTGCCGCCATGTTGGATCCTGCAGCTCTGTGACCCGGGACAGCCCAGCGAGTGGGGAACAGGCTCTTCAGGGAGGTATCCGAGGGGCTCAGGGACCAGGGGGAGGGACGGAGGTTCTGGGGGGGAAGGGTCTGGAAAACAGGGGCAGCATGAGATACAGAGGAAAGGGTACCCGGCCAGGGCTCTGCAGGCCCTGGGAGGGGCAGATGTTACCAGGCCAAACACATCTTGAGGAGGTCTTTGTGGGACACGCCCTGCACCTCGCTGAGCCCCAGCCCTGCCCTGGGCCCACATTACCCCACAGAGAGGGGAAGGCCTCTCTGTGCAGAGTCCCCTGGCTGGGCTGGGCAGCCCAGAG